TCATGCAGGATGACTTGGAGGAGAGCGCAGAGCGGAAGGCGTGTCAGTTCAAGAGGTCCTGGTTGGGGGATTGCTCGGGGCTGCAGGACCCCCACTATGGCTATTCTCTGGGAAAGCCTTGTGTCCTTCTTCGAATGAATCGGGTAAGATGAGTGTCAGTCACCAAAATAATGCACATCAGCGCAAAAAACAAAGGAGGAAACATGAAACAGCCGGGACACAGTGTGTTACTGGACTGTTGAAGCTCACAGGTTTCTCAGTGAGTGACATCTTGTGGCCATTAATGGAGAGAATGAAGACAAGTAGACTACATTAGAGTTACGTTGTGGACAGTGTGGGCGCTTCTTCCGAGAAGTAAACTTTTGCATCTAATATTTATTATTTATATACAATAAACATTTTCTTGCTGGAGTTCAGTTTGAAGCAAAGGTGAATAGTGTGTCCACACAATAAAGCTACCAATATTTGAATTGATGCATCCCTTTTGCTTCCATGATGACACATTATTCTTACTATTCTTACTTTTCAATAGATTCTTGGTTACTTACCTGGCCAGGGCAAACCAATAAATGTGACCTGTGGAGTCAAGGTACGGTAACCATCAACACTCTCACACTAATTTGTATCTCAGTGAGAAGCAACAGTAACAAAATCATAATTGTATCGTGCAACCAAGTGTGGATCAGGAAAACATGACTACTACTTCTTTCAGAGAGGACCTCCAGAAGCTTTGGGAGAAGTCCAGTTTTTTCCCAAAAGCATTTTTGACCTGAAGTACTATCCATACTATGGGAAGCTCAGACATGTGAGTGAGAGTTGTCATCCTTGAGGACCACTGCTGTGGCACAATTTTATTCTTTATTAAGTCTGAAATAACACCTGTCATGTTTCGACTTCAGGTAAACTACTCTGCACCGGTGGTGGCTGTGCGTTTTGCAGGAGTGCAGATCGACTCTCACATCCAAGTTCAATGCAAACTGAACGGAAAGGGCATCATTAACGATTCACCCACTGACCGCTACCTGGGCAGTGTGACCTTCTCCTTGGACGTCGGAGCGTAAAGGCAAAATACCGCTGACAGCAGGATGCTCCTTTGACAACGAGGCAGGAAAATGTACAAGAAAAAAAAATGATGTTGAAATATTATTTTCCATGAAATATGTAATTTCCCTTTCCTCTTAAATATCCATGTCTTCTGCTGTGAAACAAATTCCTCAAGAAGTAGATATTTACTCTTGTGTTTCTGTTGTATCTTTGTACCTTGAGCGTGCTACCGGTACCTGCACCCTAAACAAACAGTGCTGAGCACAGGACGAGTGGTAGAGTGAGTTACAATTCAATTCCTGACATTTTGTAATGATTAGCAAGATTAATCAAACTAAATTACACTCTGCCCAATAGTTAGAATTTCTGGCTATGCAAATCCAATTATGACTTAAAAACATTAATAGGCAATTAGAAACATTGTTTTATCAGGATAGTTTGTGGTTTTGTGTGCACATTTGTGATAAAGTGTACTAATTTGTTTTGCATTATATTTTTCAAACATGTATATTGTAAGAATTCAAAGAACTATCATGCAAACACTGAAAGCAGGACTTGTACTGTACTTACACAGTAAAAAGACATAATGACTGCAAATACACTATTACTATATTTTTGTTGAATAGAGCAGTATTATACATTTATGATAAAGCATCACAAGCCACTTCTTGCCTTCTTTTGTAAAAACATTTGCTTTTGAAAATGAAATACTACACAAGACTGATCAATAAAGAGACATATTGTACTGTGAAATAGTTTGTATAAGGTCTGTACCATTTTAAAAGTATAACTATTTTGTGATAGTATTAATCATAACTGAAATGTGCTACTAAACTTGGCATCAATGTTGTATTTATTCCTATTATAGTTCTTATAATAAATACAATGTTCTGGTATGTACTGTAAGTTTTCTTCCACATGGGACTAAGAGTCTACATCAACTTAACAAAATAACATCTAAACTTTTTAATTTTCAGTAAAACTCTATAAATAATATGGATGCAAAGTCATGACAATTTAAATCGAGAGGAACATGAATGTGTACCAAATGTCATGACAACACATCCAAAACCTCATGGTGGCGGTACAGGAAAAGGTCAGGGGATCACTAAATCATCAGGGTTCATCCTCTGGGCACCATCGATATTTGGGCCAAATTTACTGACAGTCCGTCCAACAGTTGTTGAGACATTTCAGTCTGGACTAAAGTGATGGGCTGACAGCATGGTCATTAACAAAGCTTCATGGTCCTGTCTGTATATATTTTAAGGAAAATAATTGGTTTTAAGAACTGATTTTGCAATTGTTATTTTGAAACACAAATGTAATTTTTAAAAAGTAATTTAAGTTAACAAAACCAACACAACAAACCACAGTCTGACCGGCGTGACCTCTGGGTAAACTTGCATATCTTCCTGAACGCCAGTAATAGCTGGAGTGAGAGTCACGCCTCTGTGTACCATTACAGGTTATAAAAAGCACGTCGTCGATCAAAGTCGAACAGTTTGAGCAACCGCAGTGGTTCAGTTCACGGCCTTTAACCTTTGAATTCAGTTTTCGTCACAAGACTGGCAGGCTCCTGTTAAAAGAATGACAGTGATACAAAACAAGAACAAAACTTTATTTAACTTGTTCCCCACTTGTGTTTTAAACAAGCTCATCACATCACATTCTTCATCAGATGGAGACAAGCTTCAAGCAAGCATCTCAGAGGTGCACAACAGAAAGGCACAAAACTGTCAGGGGGAGCGATCGAATGTACACAACTGAGGATCAGATAAATGACTTAAGAAATATTACTCATGGTCTTCATTCTTGAACTGCTCTTGTTATGTTACTGCACTATCACATGGAGGGTAGTGTAGGGATAATACTCTAACCAGGTTTTTAGTTAAATAAAGAACAAACGTATGTACATTCAACCAAGTTCGATTCTGGCGACCAATTTCGGTTTATTTGACTCGTTACCCATTTGCCAACATATTTGTTTGACTTGTGAAATAACACAGGATCAAAAGGGTAATTCACCAAATATTAAAATGCAAATCTTTAAAGAGAAGTGCCCATTTAAAAGAAACATAAGTCTTGAATCTTCCTAACACGAGTGACAGAAACTAACACCTACCATCACACATTTCAAAAAAACAAAAAACAAGAAAAGAAACAAAAACTGGTCCCAATGCTGGTAAAGTGTCATTATAAGTTAGTGTCCCTTTCATCAATCCTACAGGTAAGTGCAACAGGTAGAGTTTCATTTAACTGTTAATTTACGTTATGTTAAACAAACATTAAAACAGTGGCGCCCCGGAGTATGAATGACAACTGTGTTATCTGTTAGCTTGCTCGTACATTCACGTCTTCAAAAATCAATGTCATTCATTCTATACAAGAGAGTAATTTACACGTATACTATTGTACAGCACAGAAACCGAGAGGAAAAAGCCTCTCTGGGGAGGGAGGAGGGAGGGTACTCTGGGGAGGAGGAGGAAGAGGAGGAGGAGGAAGAGGAGAAAGAGGTGGGTGGCTACTTACAGCCATAAATTTAATTTTCAAAACATGCAATCTACAATCAAACGATGCAATATTGATCATAAATGTTTTGGTACTTGATTCAGTCATTGGCATCAAAGCAAAACCAAGGAAACAATCGGGGTGGTTGCTAGGATCAATTTCAGACTGTGTACGAGAAATAAGCTCAAGGTCGTTTTAAGGGGAAACAGGAGAAGAAAAAAAAACAAACAACAGAAATTTTGGGATGCTTTTGACGGGCAGCGGAGTGGTTCGGGAAGGTGTTTTTAAAGAGCTGTGAGGGTTGAAAAGGGTGCGAGAGGCAGAAGCAGCTGGGTTGGATTATACAGACTGGTAGCCAGTGCGACTCTTCCTCCGGCCAATCAGGTAAGAGATAAGCACAAGGATGATTAGGAAGCTGAGTGCCACGCCCACTGCAATGGGCACCAAAAAGCTCAAATCAGAGTCCAGGAAGCATTCCTCAGCTGACAGACACAGAGACAGACAGAAAGGAGACAGACAGCAGGTTAGTGTTTTAGTCAGCAGAAAACAGGGTTTTAGGATATTTACAGTCCACAAAAGGTTTAGAAGGAGGAGACAGAGCAGCAAGAAAGGAGCCCAACCTACAAAAGGTGAATTCAACAATGTAAATGTAGTGGAGATTAGAAGAAGAAAGGGGGTCATTAAATATTCCACAGGCACAACAAGAAAATCACTCATGTGCTTAATACTTATTATTCTAGATGAACATGAATTTCAGGAAGAATGAACAAAGGAAATTCTTTAAAAAGGAGTAGTCCGACATTTTGGGAAATATGCAAAATGCTGAGTCAAACTTTATATTCAACACACGAGAGAGAGGAATCAACCTTCTCATCTAATCCTAAACAAGAACACAAATGAGCTTACTTCCCAAAATGTCTATTTTTTTATGAATACGGTGAGGCAGTCAGCAGCACTAAACACTACATGGAGACATCAATACAACACATGTTGGTGTGACAATTAGTCAAAAGGCAGCGAGGCAAAAAGGCAGCGATTCACTGACTGTCCTTTCTGTAGCATAAAAGATCGAAATGATGCAAGTTTAACTAGAAAGACTCGTAGCCGGTGGCCATGTTTCTCTTTCTCCCGATGAAATAGGCCAGCAGAACGATAAGAATGAGAACAAGCAGGGAAACTCCGACAGCTATGGGAACAAGGAAGCTCTCTGCATCAGCCTGGCATTCCTCAGCTAGACGAGAGTGAAGAGAGCAGAGAGGTGAAAGTCTTATAGGCTGAACAGGAGAATTCAAATAAAAAAAACTCATGATTAATGAATGAAAGCCTGAAAAAGAAGAAGTAGGTCGCCAACTGACTTAAAAGAAGCTCTGTATTACGTAAAGCACGGACAGAAACATGGAACCTTTTTATAGTTTTACAAGAAGGAATAAACATTTACTCGAGTGTCCAGGGAAGAAACGCTTTTTTTATTTTCCATAAATCTTAAAATACTAAAAAGCTCCACAATTTGAAATCCAATTTATCATAGCCAACAGCGTGAGAGAATGGAGATGAAATCAGCAGTCATTTGTATCCACATAACACACATTAATAGATCTTTAACACGATGGTCTTGCAGCACAAAATTCCCTTTGATGAACATGTGTGTGCAATGTTCTCAACAAGTGACGGGGAATTAAATAAAGAGCCAAAATCATTCAAGTTACCATAAAAAGGTATCTTGCTTTAACAGTATTGGTGAGTTAATGAATGTACAAAAACAGAAAAGCCATCACTGTGCAAGGCAGAAATGTCCAGAATATGAGCCTGTTAGATGGTTTATTGAGAACGAGGGAGATTAACTTTGAGGAAATGTCATATATTTATACAAAGTGCTGCAAAACCATCTTTATATTAAGGCAGAGTTCAAACAAAGCTGGAACAGACAAAAGCAAAGCCAAAACTTGATTTATAGCCATTATTCATACACATGTACAACGTCCTGGGAAAGCACATTTTTATAAGCAACTTAAAAATGCAAATATTTCTAGTTCATCCTCATATTCAGTGTAGTTAACTGCCTGCGTTGCTCCAGTCCTGAGGAGCTGGAGCAACGCAGGCAGTACACAGCACTCTGCTAGAATTAAGCAAAGATACACAGCTACCAACATGTGTCACATTGGCTTTCTATCATAGAAATACACATTCTGAGGCTGGCCTCCATCCCTGACACTGCAATCTTGCAACTTGCACTAATTCCCTGACTTACAAGCTCCTGAAAATGTACTTTCAGCTTCTTACTACGAGTGGCAGGGTCCTACATTAAAACACAATCTTCCTGCAACAATTGTGTCTATTTCACATGAGATTATGTCACAAACCTCAGTGGATTTAACAATTTTGGAATACAAATCTGAAGATTGGTGAGGCACTGCGGAACCAAAGTGATCCGACCAAACCCGCAAGGTCAAATGACTTGATCCAGATGATACGCAAAGCTTTTAAAGAAATAGTCTGATGCTTTGGAAAATACACTTTGTTTTGCTGAGAGTTAGAAGAGAAGACTGATACTTTGTACAATAAATGTGAAGCTATAGCCATGAGAGTTTCAGACAGAACCAGCTCTTCCACGCTTTGTGCTAAGCTAACGGTCTCCTGGCTGTAGCTTCATATTTAACAGAAAACACATGAGATTGGTGTCGATCTTCTTATTTACCTCTCAGCAGTAAAGCATATAAACCTATTTCACCGACTACTGTAAAGGCCTCATGAACAAATACCTCCTGAACTTTAACTTTGATTGTTACTTGGTCAGTTGTGAATACTCAGTGTTACAGAGAAATACTGAAATATTTGAAACAAAGGTTTCAGGAGCTTTAACGTCCCCTGATGCAGCTGCAGCCCTCCGAGCTCAGGCCAAGCCCAGGCCTAACCACAGGTGAGAAAATGTGACAATAGTCTCAACATAGTACAAAAATGTAAAGAGCGCCTTAGTGCATTTATCTGTATATATCCTCGTTTCAGAAATGTCTGTGCTGAAAGTGAGTATCTACACAATGAAATTCTCCCTTTTCTAAACCTAATGCCATAATGTAGGATTTGAGAATAAACAGCTGACCTTTATGAAGATATATTCTCTGACTGGAGCATGTGCAAATGTAAGGGACCTTTTAAACGGCAGACATTTTGACACGGCGTACGAGGAAAAGCCCAGATTAATAACACTAACAATGGCTGCGTCCCATGTAGTTTTGTCAGTTCCAGGACCTTTACACTTGAAAGTAAACAAACCATCATTAGTTCCACCTGGACTTTCACTGCTCGACATATGTCCAAATGTCTTCCATGAAAAAGTTTGAATGGTGTTTAAACATCAGACACTTTGATGATTGCAGCCACATAATCAGGACAACAATATCAATGTTTCTCCTGCTCTACAGGGGCAAACATGGGCTAAAGCAGATTTCCTTTGACAACTTAGACCTTCATCCTTGTTAATGCATTTCAGGGAACAAAGCAAGAAAGCTGATTGGCCGTCTTCCTCTGATTTGTGGAGAAAAATGGTGTGGAAATGCTGTGAAAATTATCGTTCTGATAAGTCTTGATGTAAATCATTATGGAGATGAAAGGTCAAACCATAAAAAGGAAGTAAAAACTAAAAATGTGCACAAAGATAAAATAATGACAAAAAAAAGGGGAATGTCTGCAGAGCAAGTGCAGGATCCGACAGCAACAAACTTTAATTGTCCAATTATTAATGTCCAGATTTTGTATATGTTTTATGTATAGCTCCAAGAACTATAAATTATGTATTTATAATGTTACCTTTCATGTGATTGTAATTACTTAAACAGAAAATAAAAAAAGGTTGTGTGAATCTTGTACTTGCTCATTAACAAAAAACCAAACAAAAAAAACAAAAAAAGGAAAGACAAGACATCAACAGAAATTGAACACAAACACTGGGGGTAGACAAGTTTGGTCCTTGAGAAAAACACCAAACCCTCCATCTTTACATGGATGTGACTCTTATTATTATTGTATCATTTAACCTTAGAGGCAAAAATGTGCATTTCATGTCTCATAACGACCAATAACTTTAAAACAAACAGTTACATCTGTTTTTCTGATGGCAGTCATTTCTATAAAACCGCAATCTCATGTTATTCCAGCAGAGACTTTAGTTTGACTCTTGAATTTTTTAAGTTATTTGCCAAATAATCATGAACATGAATCCCAAGGACCAGGCTTGGGAACCCCGTGATATTTCAGGATCGACTGAAAACTGGATTTAAAGGGTCTGATATCCAACATAAGTCTTTCTTCGACCAATCACGTAAGCGACCACTACAATGAGAATCAAGCCAGCCAGAGCAGCGCCAACAATGATTGGGATTAAGATGCTGGTGTCATCCAATGAACATTCATGGGCTGCAGATAAAGAAAGAGTCAGTCAACAGGTGGAGCAGTGATTTCCTGATTAACAAGAGACACAACTGAAGCAGCACTTCAGCTTATTTACCATCTTTAACACTTGAGCTGTCCAACTTACTGCCAAAATACCCAAACACTTAATGTTCTCTATTTAAAAGCTGTCACATGAATGAACGTCTTTGGCATGACAGATGACAGTAAAGATTCTGCAGAAGGTAATTCAAATGTGAATGACCTGTCTCCCTTTTCAGGAGCCTAAGATGGACTTAATGTTAAGTTAGTTAATAAGTTAAAGCAGCACCAGTTATGACTGAGGCTGAGTGGAAGTATGCGATTTCTTTTCTAGGTCTAAAAATAATCAGGTCAGTGCTTCCAATGGCTGTGTAATTGCACATAATGTATATATATATATATTTTTTTTAATATTATTTTTTATTGATTCACAGTTGCAGTAAACAATACATCCAAAGAGTCACATTTAAATTTTTCTATATAACCCACATATTAATGTATTAATGCAAAGTTTAATATCAAATGGTTAATTGCAGATTCATGAAAAACTAAACTGGGTATTTTACTACGGGGTCTGCTGATTGTTGAATGTGCCACAGGCAGGGGTCTCTCAGTTTACTTTACTTCACTTAATAAACACAATTTAGTGTTTTATGTTTTCTTGAGGCAAGAGAGCTCAAACTGTGTTAAAGTGTTTGAGCTCCTCCTGGCATAAATATAAAAACAAAGAAATCTTGAGCTGGACATCTGATTAAACCAAAATGTGATAGTGTCTTATAGTGATTCTCAATAGTACAAAATTACAATTAAACAAATAAATTAAACTTAAATGTGCTAGTTTATACTGTTACATAAACAGAAACATTTAGTGCATATAATTTTAAACTTTAATGTTTTTTTTTTTTAACGGAGATACTGTCCGCACTCATTTTTAAATGACACGCAGCCGTAGTTCTGGTACAAACTAATAAAATCGAATCCATTTGGTTAATTTAAACAGAACAAAAATCATCTTCCACTTTACAACCTCTACAGTCATCGGCTATAACATCGACATTTCCTTCAGACTCCATATATGAAACAGTTTTTGTAAGGGCCCGGTCGGCACATTAAAGGAGAACTTACCTGTACTGAAAACACCCTTCTTTACTCCGAAGGGCTGTACTTGAAGGTCGAAGGTGAAGATGGTGAGCAGGCCGGTGATGGTGTAGTTCTGCTCCTTGTTACACATGTAGGAACTGCTGACAGCCGCCTCCCACAGACTCAGGTTGGTGTTCGCCTCAGAAAATGCCACACCTTGGGAAACAAAACTCAACGTTAGCTCACTTCTCGGTGTGGCGCCGGGTTTGTGCGGGTAGATACGATTCTTCTCATTACCAGAACTTGTCTTTCCAGTTACGTTCAGAGCGTGAAGGCGGAATTTCTTTGTGTCCTGTTAGACGGAAAGTACAAGATCAGAAAATATGCATCCTAATTTTACAAAAACTCTAACAGCTGTCTCAATTAGGCTAAAAGCATAATACAGACTCTGCATCCAGGACATCAAGGATACAAACATTTCCCTTTTCTTTTTTCAGGGTCGAGTGATACTGACAGTGAACAGTTCGTTGCATCCTGTCTATTTCTGTGAAGTTATATAATGTTAGGAACCATGTTACAGTATTTATTATCCCTCTAATTCAGTGATTCCCAACCGGGCGAATGAAACAATACCAAAGACAGGAAGATAGTGGTGAATAGAAATTATAATATGATTTAAAATTATGATAAATATTTTCATTATCAATTAATCTGCAGAGTATATATATTCTATTTACTATGATACAAGTCAAGGTAAAGTCCCCCACATCTGGGACTTGTGAATGAGACTCAACAATCAACTTTCTTTGTTGGCTCAGATTGGTTGTTTTCGGTCAGTTGGATTCTTGCTAATGCCATTAGGAGCACTAGGAGGAGCCAGAGGAACCGGATTCTTTTTCTCATGTACTGCCGTCAAGATATAGTGGAAGTTTCAGCAAATATGAGTTATTTTTATAAATGTCACCTGCTGCAGCTTTTAGAAGATGACACTGTAAAATGTTTGGATTTTGAGTTTGAAAATGTACTTGATTGATGATTTACTGATCATTAAAGATTATAGAAGTAGTCTGATTATTTTGTGACATTAACCAGTTCATCCGACTAAAAAGGTTGGGAACCACTGATCTATAATTGACAACTTTGATTTTATCATGGCCAAAATGTTTTAGATATTTAGAAAAGTTGAAATTAAAAATTAGTTATAAAAATTATTAAGATTCTGCAGGTTTGGACCCGTTAAATTTAAGACTTTTTAAAACCTTTATTAACACAATATAAAGATCTATTTTACGTCCATACTGGAAAAAAAGGAACAGAGGAAAATTAGTATCGGTTTCATGCTGGTTTTGTTTTGTATTTGCTACAGCACGATCAATAAAACCTTTTCCCAAAAACAAGACTGAAAAATGCAACTCTATACGAGTAACGTTGACTTCATTAATCCAGTCCATTTTTAAAGACCTGTCACAGTCACATTCAAGACATTTTAAGGTCTAAAACTGTCTAAAAACTGTCACCAGTCAAGTTAATCAAATGAATATAACAACATATTGATGAGGACTTACATTGGTGAAAGTGAACGTGATGGTCATTGTGTTGGACACCAACACCAGCTCACTGCTGTTGACTCCACATGATCCAGAGACTGTGGTCCCATTGGGGTCAAAGTTCATCTCCTGATATTTCTATGCCAGAGGCGGAGAGAAGAATCAAATCAGCAACAACTATGTGAGATCATCTGTACATCATCTGAAAGAGCATAACAAGATTACAGCTTTATAATTCTGTTTATGAACATACGTCTGCCTGCTTGACACCGATCCGCAGGCCAAAGGTGGCCAACAGACAGGCTGTGCTGTTGTCATCAGGCTTGATGCTGTACTTTCCAGTGGAGGGTGGGGGGAGGGTGGGGGTAGGGGTGGTGGTAGGCGGGGCAGCGGTAGTAGCATTTGTGACAGGAGCCGCGGTACTGGTGGCGTGAGTGGTGGGGGTAACGGTGGTTACGGGTACATCGGCTGGACAAGAGGTAACTGTGTAAAGAGGAGAGAGAGAGAGAGAGAGAGAGTGAGAGAGAGAGAGGTTAGAAAATCAATCCGAACAGAAGAGAAACATTAGAGGCAGGAAGAGATGTGACGCTGCGTCTGCACTTACTATTTTCACTCTTGTTGCCATTAATGACAAAAGCCTGTATGAGCACGTTCCACAGTGTCTGATTCACCGCATCGGCTTCGATCGTGTCCTTGCTGTTGCATGAGTAGCAGGTGTCCAGGCCTACGTCTGTAATGTGAGGCTTCACGGTGGCAGTTAGGGTGTCTAAAAGAAAACACACACACACACACACACACACACACACACACACACACACACACACACACACACACACACACACACACACACACACACACACACACACACACACACACACACACACACACACCAGCATTAGTAACCGGCCTTCTGTCTGTAGTTTGTGTTTGCACTGTGTGGTGTACACGTTACCATTCGATGTAGATTTAGGGAAGAAGGTTGTGTCGCTGAGGTTGTAGGAGAAGGTGATGGTGTCTGCCTGGTACTTTTTTCCATCGACGGTGTTAAAGTTCATGCTCCAGGTGTGTCCTTCTCCAAAACTGAGCTTCAACATTGAGCTTGAGCTGCCACACTCACTTCCAACTGTTGACACTTTAGGAGGAAGTTCAAACTCAGCTGTTGCGGTCTAAAAAGAGAGGAGAGTGTAAGTTAGAGAGGCTCACATCATGTGGTTTGATGAAGCAGCCAGACATGTGCAGGCATATAGGCAACCAATCAAGGTGCGGCTCCTGGCTCCCTTGGCTACCTGAAACCAACTTCACCCTTCCCATACTTGGCATGTGACACTCCACTGTGTGTGTTCTGACAACACAGCAAGTTTTACACATCTTTATTCTGGAAAACTGACTATTAGAGTTCACTGGTCACACACAAAGTTAACTGTGCTCACCTTGCTAATCTTGTTGTTAAGTTGTAAAACCAGTTTCACACACATCCTAGTGACCAATAATAATTTCATGTTATCTGTTAGGCTGATATGCTGGTAATCCGTGCCACAGTGATTAGTTGTTTATTGTAGACGAAGTTATATGTGCCTTCAATATGTGAGGCATTTACTTCCCAGGCATTTGTAGATCACTTCTTTACAGTAAGAATTATTAGAAATAGCTTGTAGAAAGGTGTTTGCTAGAGCCAGCAGAAGGCTAGGTACACGGGTCCTAACTAACTGTGTGCTGTGGATCAACACCAGTAACTCCTGTGTGCGAAGTAACATTACTTTAAATGACTCTGGTGGCTTTGGAGAGAGATATATAAACACTTCAGTCTTCTGTCAGAAGGGCTGTATGATGGTTAAGTAAAGCAGAATATTCTGTGGTCTTTTTGAAAGAATATTCGGTGGTCTTTTTGAAAGGTGGCTAAAATAATAATTTGTTGCTGCCCCCGTCCGTGTTGGTGCTTCTCCAAACTGGGGGCGTGCTGACCGCTGTCTACTGTAGGTAATACACTGATTATGAATGAGTACTTCATACAACCCCGCTTAGAGAACCCCAAACTATCCCTTTAATATCCAATTTTTCAGTAACCTTATTTAACATAATTATATACGTTTGATGTTAAACTGTAACTCTTAGCATCTGTCACACAAACACTTTCTCATCACCTCAAACATATCATATATTACAGCTAGAAAGAATAATAAATACACGTTAGATAATTTCTTGAAATTCTATACATTTGGGTGAGCTGCTTTCTATGGCTATAGACGGGACACAACAATCGCAGGATGTGTGGCAGGATAACTCACTAACTGAAATGCTGAATAGCCAGAATCTATCTGCTTTGTAGTGCCTCATTTCCCATTTCCACGATGACATTTGCTTCCACAAGCGTTTGACAGTCATGCTGTTGAGGTGGAGCCTGATAACAGTGGAGCTGTTTTGCAACATTGGCAGAGTAATTTTATAAAGGATACTGTGCAGCCTGACGCACTAAATATACCAGACACAGCTGGTCATATTAAAACATCTTGTGGTTAGTGTGACTAAGACCAGACACTCACCTTATTGTCAGCTGCATCATATGAGACTGAGAAGTTGACCATTAGATTGGCATAGAGGCATAACTTGTCGTCTTTGTCTTTGACGTCCACCTCAGTGCCATGAGACAGCTGGAACACTGAAATTAAAAAAACGAAAACAATGACTCAGTTTTTTTCTACTGTAATTCATCATTAGTCCAGTTGGGATTTAAAAGGTTACTCTCTTCATTGAAAGTAAAGGTGGAAAAGAACATGGAAACTCCTGGACACTTATATAAAGTCTGTACCTTTCCACTGGCTGTAAGAAACTGTATACAATTTAAAGGTGAGAGGCCAAGGTCCATTCAGATTTACAAAATGTTTGACGTAACGCATTATATAAACTCACCAACAGCTGCCTGTCACAATCTTCCAAGTAACATAAACTTATAAAATCACCTGACTCACATGTTTGTGTCTGACCTTGCTATAAAAACACTCTGTGGTTTACTGTAGGGTATACGCAGGTTTAGCCTACACTAAATCCCCTCTGATGGACATCATTCAGTAGTGCTCTTTGAGCTAAATGGGTTTTTGTTTTTTATTCCTAGGATGGTGAAGGCATCACATGGTTGTCCAATGATCATGAGTAAATAGAGTAAGAAATACTACTTATTCATTTCAGGTTCATTTAATAACAGTCTTTCCTGCCTGAAGTCACGCAGCAAAAGTAGAGTGACAATGTGCAAATACTACAGACACATTTTGTGGTGAAATAAATATACTTCACTGTATGGGCCTCTTTAAAATATATATAAATAAATAAGTATACCCACTTCTCCATGCACACTGTACTTTTCACTGTAGGGCCAGGTCCTGACACACAGACACAGTTTGTGATAATGTATGATAAAAACATTTGCAATGGCAACATAGCTGAAATTCCTCATAAGGTCATAGCACCTGATGGGTGTGCAAGTGTGTGTAACAGCGTATCTGTCAGTACTGGAGGACAACTTTCGAGAAAACCGACCCAACTCTAACCTTTAACCTTTAACCTTTGTGTTGATCCCAGTGTAAAACATTATCTACAATCCACAGTTGATTCCTCCTCTGACACAAACAGTGATCTTGTTTATATAATATAACGTTGTTCACACTATTGATCTCTGTATGTATGCAGTAAAAAGCCTCTGACTCACAAACCTCACTAACTCTAGCGTACGTTAACTATCACGTGATAAGTTAGTCAGCTGCCAGACCTAGCTAATGCTAACCAGTTTAGCATAATGCTAACGCGTTTTAAATGGAGCCAACGGGGGTTTGTGGGTCCATTTACACTCACTGGTGTGTGTGTGTGTGTGTGTGTGTCGTCCTGAGTCATTTATAATCGGGTCAAAACTTTAGCTTCAAAACAAGTGTTACTTAACCAACATGCTAACGTTAGCAGCCGTTAGCAGCCGTTAGCAGCCGTTAATGTCAACGTTTAAGATTTCCCGACAGTTGCTTTGAGGGCCCGGTTTGGTTTCTATTTGTGGGAATCAAAGGAATAAAAGAAACGCGGTTGTGTGGGGAAATGTAGTTTCTTTAAGGCGACCGAGCGCTGCCTCAGTCCGATGTTGTTGACGTACGTAACAATTAGCAACAAAGCTAGCTTCATCAGCAAAACATCACGACTCCACTGCTCCCCGATGATGGGCTCGTTTTAGAGCCTGTACAGTAAATCCATCCTCAGAGCACATTAATGTCTACACATGTAGGGCAATTTACAACTGCTATAATCTTAATAATCTGTTTTTTATCTTCTCCAGAGCAGCATTTAGCCTGAGCCCGGGAAGCTGCAGGCCCCGGAGCAGCCCCCCTCCCCCCCCTCCCCAAGTTTAATCACGTCACTTCGCAGAAAACATATAACCAGCATTTTATTCTCGGCTCTTTTATTGGAGGACTAAATAAGGTGAAGACACATACCGATTCCAAAGGCGAGGAATAAAACTAATGCAGCATATCGATACATGGTCGCTCAGCAGTTTGGAGTGTCAGTCAGCGGAGAGAGGAGACGGATAGACCCGACGGGGACGCTCAGTCAGCGGTGTTTGGGACGAAGCCGTGCCGCCGCCGACTGTACCAGGAAATGGAAGTCATATGACGGGGGATGTGTCAAACCCGAAGAGGCGTGGACTACCTCTGTCTTTATAGCTATAATCCCCCCTCTGCAGAGTTAATTTCACACACAAAAAGCTTCCTATTGGGTTGTTTTCATACAAGACAGTGAACATGTGTCTGGGAATTAATGATTAATAAAAAAGAAAGCCCGATTGAAACAGTTATTTTAATCTGAAGCAATAAATCTAACAGACTCATACAAACAAGGGCATGTCTAATCAGGCATATTTTTCCTCATGTTGAGGCAAATCCACTCCCATTTCCCCTCACTTTTCAGCAAAGGCCTGCAAGCCCCACAGGGAGACATACAAAAAAAAATATATAGTGTATGAACGTGGTGTGACACCGGGGAAGATGGGAAAATGGGCTCTGATGTCGTTGTGCTTTTAGTATACTTTCTACGGGTTAACAGAAACCTAACAAGCAGTTGACTGTCGGATGAGATCATTTAAAATGTCACTTTTGTGAAGTATGTACAAAAACATACAAAGACAGAACAAACAGAAAACTTAAATGCATATACTTGTACAACTGAACTGTTTTAGCAGCTTGAATACACCCTATAACAGAAGAAGTGCTCCTTTTTTTTTTTTTTTTGGCACAAACTCAGCTTTGTGTGTTCATGATCACAGTTTTATCAGATGGCTACATGGCCTTAAAAATTGTAAAACTTCGCTGCAAGATCACACATTTGACACAGATATTCCCCAAAAGGTCAATTCCCTACTATGAATGTTAGTCCAATAGTCCCACATTTGACACTGACTGAAGAAACAAGCATCAGTTTAATATTTCTTTGATCCTTTTTCTCTGGAAAGTGTGGTACATTTAGAGCATTGTTAAGTGTGTCAGCATTTGCTTGGGATACTGAATGAACAAAAAAAAAAAAAGTGACTTGATAACAAAGAGCATATTGATTCAAACTATGGACAAAGAAGAATCTAAGTTTGAAAATAAATATTTTTCCTCTCCTTTTTAAAAAAAAAAAAAAAAAAAAAAAAGAGCAAACGGAACAACATCTGTGTGTCTTCTTTGTCTGTCCACGGTAGCCCAACTCTCTCAGAGGCATTGAGAAAAATATGGACAATATTCTCTTTTCAATGGGCATGCAGTCCACAGGATCACAAGACCCCTGCCAAAAAAAATCCTGTGGAGCAGTATCCATTCACTTGTCGGTCGCTGGGTTGAAGATGATAATGGTTAACGTCCACTGGAGCAAAAGATTTAGAGACCGATCACCTCAGCCTGACTGGACCATCTGCGTCTCTTTTTCTGTGTCACTTTTTGTTTTGTCTAAGCCACATAGTTGTACTGGTTGGGGTTCTCCTTGTCACGCTCCATATAGTCCCTGTCAATAAGAGACTCTATCCTCTTCTTCAAGTCAGCAGGCTGAAAGGGCAGAGCACAGAGAGGAGGCAGAGGTTAACACACGAGGCACATGCCAGCAATTCTGGTTATTTTTATACTTTGAAGTGTGGCGTAATCACAGTGAAAAGCTGATTCATGTAAGCCATGCCTCTTCTTCAAGGTAACTTGCTATTCCCGTACAGGCCAGTTTAGATCTTATCCGGGTAGACTTGTATTAAATCAACTTTAATTCAGCTATGACTGTATTGTCAGCTAATGAGGGTGGTAGCTTGTTAGCAGGAAAGGTGCTTCTATAAAATAACACCCAAAAAAGTGAGATTTTGTGAGATTTCATCAGTTTTATCACATCAATGGCCCCCTGAAAATGTATTTTAGAAACAACTGGTTGAACAAAAATGACAGAAAAAGCAAAAGATATCATTCGATATTATCTTATTGAAGATATTGATGTATCTGTAGGCTGGGGAGTAACAAGAAATAACAGTAAAGACTATGTCTAAGTGCATTTTGTCTCCATTTCATAGTTTGTCCACCACAGAAACTGAAAAAACTGTAAAAATGTACAACCAAGTTTGTGTGTGTGTGTGATGGAAATACACATTTGTTTTAAATGAACAGTAGCAAAATAAACCCAGTGACCCTGCACAAGATGAAAACACGCAGAAAACAGTAATAGAGCCCCTTGTATAGGTCAATGAAATATTTTTCGATTCAGTTTTATGCTAATCACCTTGACAGGGAACTTCAGCTGGTTGTACACCTCAGACATCAAGAGATTATGGCTCAGAGTCTTCCTCATCTTCATGATCCGCACAATTGCAGCGTCAATCTGATACTGCCGGTCCTGAAAGACCCTTTCTGTGGTACTAGCTTGCTCCTCCACCTGGGAGAAAACAGTAAAGTTAAAATAATTCACCAATACCTCGAAGGCCTTGAAGGGAGGAAACTACTGTAAAAAATAACACTTTTACCGTTTCTTTCATCTGGATCTGGTTAATTTTGATTCTGAAGAGCTTATGTTTGAAGTCGTCATTGCAAGAAAACTTGTCCCCATCCTCCACGTCTTTGCTTTTTGGGATTTTGGTGAGGACACGTGCTTTTCCACAAGCAAGTGACTGCAGAGTCCTGCGCAGTTCACTGTCCTCTATAAGGCAACACACAAACAGACAGTGTTTTAGATCAGTGGTGCTGCATAATGAGTCCTTGACAACCCTTATTCCTTCATCAAAGTGCTGCCAACCAAACTTTGATGTGATCACACAGACCTATTCCTGTTGCCAGTTTGATCTCCTCCAGGGTGAACTCCTCTCCTTCGTTGAACATCAGCAGCACGAGCGTTTGGAAAAGTGACACCTGCAGCTCCTTCTTGCCCTTTAAAAAAACCAAAAACATTCAAATTAAGCTTTATTCACTGAGTGAGCAAAAAACACCACAGCATTCTTATAAATGAGCTACCTACCTCTTTAAATTCAGCTTTTAACACACAATGGCCGAGCGTTGATTGCCACTGCAGCTTCCTGCCACTGTGTTTGCCCAGGTAGAAGGTCTTGAAGATCTCTTGCAGTCGCACCATCTGGACAAAGATAACAAAAGCGTTACAAAGCAACACATGGTATATATTTATTGCATAGCAGGTTATAAAAAATAAAAAAAAACAGCACGTTCTTAAAATGTCAATATTTGCTCGGTACCGACCTCAGGAGGCAGGTGCACTTCCATCGGGACGTAGGTTGGCCAATAACCCATAGTGAGGATGTTCACCGTCAGCTCAATGTTGCCGGGAATGTTTTGGCACTGCATATACTAAAGAAATACAAATGAAAATTTGTGACATCCAGCGGCAACCTCCTGCACGCATTCAATTTATTGCTTTAGGTCATCACATCACAAAGGGCAGTGTCAGTGAGGGCATTTTGTTTCAGGTGCCAGTCAGACAAAGACATAAGATCCAGTCTGAATAATACATCCATGAGTTTGAAGGCTCATTGAATTCCAAAACACTGCTGTTTATGATAATATGAGGAGGGACTTTACAACTCTGAACGTACAAAAATGTTAAATATTCCTGTTTCTAAATAATCTACCAGGAATGTGCACTTATGATTCATTGATTTTGTTTGACATTAAAGCTGCAGTAGGTAACTTTAACAAAAATATCTGAGAAAGATGGGTGATTGAGTTAAAATACAGACTGCTTGGAACCTGGGATTGAGACTCAACAACCATTTCTGGCTCTGATTGGTTGTTTTTGTTCTCACAGATTGAACGCAGTCTGTTTGTTAACCTGTTTAAACTGCACCATGATGTCTTTAGAAAGCTCCATATCCTTGAACATCCCCTCCAGTTTGCTGGTGAACGCCGCTCCACATTCTGAGGAAACACCAAAATGTCACAAGTGAGTGAGTGAGTGTGTCTGTGTGCGTTAGGAAGTGACACTTCAAACTGTTGTAACTGACCATGTTTCAGCTTTGACAACATTGATTTTTCAGCATCCACAGAGGCGCTTTTTCCAACCAGCAACCTCTTGGCGAGGTCCTTTTTGTAAAAGGCCTCAAAAACATCTTTTCCTACAATGACAATACAAAAGGTTCATTACAAGAACAACCACACAGGGGAGAAATACCAAAACTGAATCAAATGTAATAGTAAATATTACCATAGATGAATCTAAAGATAATCATGATCTTATCCAGCATCTTCTCCAGTTCCTCGTCTGTTGCCTCTTTGTTTCCTGCTCTTAGCTTTGAATCCACGTGTTTTGCTGTAAACAGAAGTATATTTATAGTGGATGTTATAATATAAAGATGATGATTATATGCTCATTTACTGACGGCGCAGCAGTTATGAATGGGGAACACACTACTAACCTATGAGCTCTGCTGGTTTATTTGGCCGTTTGTTGATGAATGTTTCGAAAGCCTCCTTCATGGCGTTGACGAACTTCTCGTTCTTCATGAAGCAGATGTCGATGATGTGATCCACCTTGTCTTTAAAGTCCAGCAACTCTTGCACCATTGTTTTGTCCTTTTCTGGATTGATAACGATTGTGCTTCCAAAAGCCTGGATGTGGATTTTACAACATTGGAAAACAGTTACCAACACAATTACGCAAAACAAGCCATCTTCAAACTTATATCTCCGTTAATGCTGTCATACCTTTATGTACTCTATCCAGTGTTGCAGGAGGACCTGAACGCCACCTCGGACTCGACTGAAGAGCTGATAGAGAAGAGACAGATCCTGAATTCTGTTCTCATCCAGCAGGTGAGTCAACCCTGGAAGTTCACAGAAAGGTCAGAACAGAGAGTCAGACCTCTTTTATACTTCACTACGTAGTCAGACAGGCAGGATGGTTAGATATCAACTCATGTATACGTTTACATAAAGTATTTACTGTTACCTTTTTGCAGAGTAGCCGTGAGATGTTCACCCAGCAACTGTTTCTCTACAGTAGCAATGAGTGGTTTTCTGAATGGGGAAAAAGACAAAAGCTCAAAGGTTAGAAATGAAACTTTGTCAATATTAAATTACAAACTGAATACAACAGTCTGACACTCACTGTGTGCTCTGGTCTAGATATGTGATGACTCTGTCAGCCTCCTCCTCCAAGCGTTTGTTGACATGATGGAGATATTCTGGTACCTACAAAAAAACAAAAAGATCTCTTAATATTTAAAACTTGAAAAAGATACTGTAGGAGTCAAACAGATTCTAACTTCTGCTCCTGAAACAACTCATAAAGTTGAATTTCTAAAAGGAGCATTTTACAGAACCTAGATAACAAAGTGCTTCACATAAAGCAACAAATGAAGAACTTATAAATAGTGAAGTAAATTAACAGGACCAGAATAAAACAGAGAAAATAAATTCCAATGGTATAAAACTATAAAAGAGACAATTCAAGTAAAAAAAAAAAAAGGATCAGGTAAAACCAGAACAAGATCTTAGATGAAACTGTGCTTAAAGTTTAGGGTTAGCGACACCAAACCTATCTGAAAGCAGTGCAGTCTAATACCACAGTCCTGCAATACATTATACCATTATGGCCTCATTTCCGAGGCTAAACTAATCTCAGGTACACACAGTTTTAATTATTAGCATCATTCAATAAGCAATTCATTTTAACAGCTAGATCTTGATTGTGCATATAGTACAGTCTATTCATGTAGTACTAAAAATCCCCTAAGCCACAGTATCACAAAAATAAACACCCATTTTACTTTCACATTTGCAAACATTGCACACAAGTGTTTTGACAACCTTGAGGAAAATATCAAGCTCTGAGCTGAGTCAATAAAAAGTGGGAATATGTCTGAATCCAATGTGTCAGCAAGTAAACAAAGCGGCTATACTTGTTGTCTTAATCGAGCAAGAGCTCTTCCAGCTGAGATAAAAGAAAACCTTCCCTCAGAACCATTTATTGTTCCTGTACTGTACGATCACCTGAAGCTATGGGAGCAGGATATATCAGTGTTTGTATGATGGATTTCTTGCTGTGTGAGGTTTTGTTTGAATCGCCAGAGAATGAAACACAACATTAATCGGTTTAGTTCAAGACAAACGGTGAGTCCTTTCTGTTTCATTTTTGAGGTTCTAAAACCAAGTCAGTCATATTGCAATTCATGTGTTGGATGCATAAATATTTGCGCTATGAAACTACATCACAGAAACAGGACGTATAAAGTGTGAAAATAAGACAAATACGCCAACAAAATACAAAAAGGGCCCCGAGTATGAGGGTCACATAAATCACCTCTCTCTCCTGCATCAGCCTCTGTCCCTCTGCAGCGTACAGACGATTAGTTTCCTCCAAGAAGCGCTGCTCAAAGGAGTCTTGATAAATCTGTCAGGGACGGAGAGAAACAAGCTTCATTAAAGCCATTTGTCAACAGGAGACTGACAACTCATCACACCCCTGTGCTGGTGATTATCTCAGACAGCACAGCTGCCAAACAAGCCACACTTCTCCTGTACTACAGATGAAATTCAGGTGATCCAGACGCTCAAATACAGATTTACACCAACTGACACTTGTTGATGTAATGGTCAGTTACCTGTAAGTCAGAGAGCATGCTCAGTAGGCTCCTCAGTAGACTGCGGTCTATCGCCTCGCCGTTTCGCTCCCTCTCGATGAGCAGCAGGATCCCGTCGATGGTTTTACTCTGGACCTTCCGGTCACTGATGATGTAGAACCTGAACAGCTCCAGACCCATGTCCCTGCAGACCAGAGCAGCTTGTTCAACACACACTTTCAACAGAATCAGATGTTTATAGCTCACATCAGCGGTCACTCACCAGATTGATGGCAGCATTGAATTTTGTAAAACATAGGTACGGTCCAAAAACAAAAATATACTCCTAATCATGATCTGTGGAACAATCACAAACAGTCACAGTTAGTAATACGCATTAATGACAGTTTGATTCAGATTAAAGGGGGCACGCCGCTGATTTTACTACTTCTCAGTCTGTAAGCAGTTGTATAATATCTGAGAACATAAGCCTTTTTGTAACAGAATACCTGTGTAGGGAGTTTAAAAAGACATGGGCAGTTTCAAGATCACTAGGGTGGGTTGTAGTGTTTACAGACAGGAATCTCTTACATATGTATAAGATGGTGATATTTACAAAACTATCTATTAACCAAGTGTGGGGACACTTATGATGGACCCTTTGAGCTGCATTATTGGAAGAGCCAGTATGTTTCAACCATATGAGCGACTAAAAGTCAGAATTACTCGTTTTTTGCTGCTTTGATTTTTAACCCCCAAACTTTATGGAAGTGCAATATTAAACCAGTGGAAAACCCTGTTAACCAAGAACTTTCGATTATAAACAGACTGCACTGGAAGTGAGGTTTCCTTAACAGACTTTAAAGGGATATCACAACTACCACTTGACTTATTAAAGTTATAAAAACATACCATTTGTCTGCAGTGATCTTGCCAGCACTTGTCAATTTTCTTTAGGAACAGCACACTGTCCAGGGCATCCGTATGAACAACGTTAAGGAGAAACTAGGCTTTCATTTTAAGAGCTTTACTGCAACATGGACTTCATGATCAACACAAGGCTACACACAATCTGAGACAGAAATGACAACAATGAAAGATAAACTGTGTAAAGGATATTCTCTGAATTGATCGATCTGTGACTTGATGTGGTCTTCACACACGGCTCGCAGCTGTTTGTAAAGCTTGGCAGATATCTTATGGGAGCACAGGTTCTCCACAGCCTGAGGGGACGGAAACAAAAGGTCAAAAACAGGAATGTTTGTGTATCAGCGAAGGGCGCGAATAGCTTCCTCTGAGAGGTCAACAGGTCCAGGAAGTGATACCTGGTAGAGCTCCTCTAGATTGTACTTGATTGAAGTGCTGTTCTGTATGGCCTCGACTGCCTCCTTCAGCTTCTGCCAGGTCTCCTGTGTGTAGTTCTCAGGCAATTTGGGCTTTTCTGTGTGCGAAACAAAACACAACCTGTTCAGATAAGAGTGGAAACTTTAGCAGGATCTGAATAACAAACAGTGGACCTCACCGGACCATCAGCAGTGACATTTATAGACAGTGGCTATTAGATATCATATTAAACTGTAACATAAAATCATGACCTGGTGTCCACAATATGTTCATTGCTGACAAGAGTAAGTGATACTGTTAAATCTGCCACACATCTCCTCTCTAAATCTTGTATTTGAAGTTCACAATAACTACTTATCCTCATTTATTATATGCAGGCACTAACATATGTACCTTTTAAATGAAATGAAAGTACAAAACTGCCTTCAAACTTAATGCTTTCATTCTTCTAGGAGAGTTTTTACTATTTTAAAGTTTTTATATTAGTCCTTCAATAGTTATATTAACTGTATTTGTTTTATCTCATATGTTTGTTGTCTGACTGTGAATGTTTCTTATTATCAGGTCTCTCTTAAAACAGCAATCTTGACCTCTTTTCTGATCCAAAAAGTAAGTCGTTAATGGCTCAAATCATTATCACAATATTAATATGGTTATTTTTCAATGCTAGTATATTACATATGATTTAAGTGATGACCTGAGTTCCACTGTTAACCAGGCCTCAGGTCTTTATACGTGACAAACAACTAATTTAGTGAGTTTTTAAATTGTTGCTTGTTTTGAATTTGAACATAAATTTGAACAATGATGATATAACAAGATCAAATAATCACAATATGTCTTATTTGATCTGATATAAACTAATATTAAATGATTACCAAGCCTTTTTACATTCCTAATAGTAATTCCTAAGATGATTTTAAAGACATATTTCACTGTTTTTTAACTAACTGGTCATTGATCTCAAACGTATATATGATTAAATGTCTCCAGACTGAACCAACACACCACTGATACCAAGTTTATATATAATTTTGGACACACTTTGGTTTGTTTATAATATCTTAACGTAAAGATCTGACTATATGACAGAGCCTGGGGACTTTGTTGTCAGTAGAGATTAAGTTGCACTCTGCTGTCAGTGACTGTTGTTATGTTGTTGTTTATTTCCCAGTGTTATTATGGGAATTATTATTATTATTATTATTATGACGATGTGCTACCTTTGAAGTTCTTGATGACTAGTTTCTTGGCAGCACCAGGTTTACTGTTGGAGAAGGTACCGGAGCCTGCGGTCTTCGTCAGTCCGTTCGCATGGTGCCCCACGCCGCCGGACAGGAACACCGCTTTGCTTTTGTTATTGGAGCACGAAGCCGCAGCAGCCTCCTCAGCCATTTTCACATCCAGTCCAATGAAATCCACTGAATCCTCGAACCTCAACTTCTTCTGAATGTGCAGCGGAGTGGGAGAGCAGGAGGAGGAAGAGGAAGAAGAGGAGGAGGAGGAATTCAGGGTCTTGGGAGGCGAAGAGGAGATCGTGTCAGTAGTGTCTTCCCTCTCTGAGCCGTTTATTTTCCTCTTCTTCGGAGATGTGATGTTGCCGCTTTCGTTTTTGACATCAGTAGCCGCTGGTCTTGCCTCCTGGGTTGGCGGTGGTGGGGGATTAGGGGAAGATAAACCTGTTGGAAACATGAAAAAACGGGAATACTAATTCTTTACAGCCAGTCTTCTGATCGGAAACTTCCAGGCTCGCCGGGGTTAGGAAGAGAGAGAGACAGAGAGAGACAGAGAGAGAGAGGGGGGCGGTTGAGCTCAGTGTCCGGGAGCTTTTTGTTTTATCTTAACGCGGAGAGGTTGTTTTTATCCAAAGTCCTGTATCCGGTATAAAACACACAATAAACTGCGAACTACACACAGCTCCACTTGATTCCCAGCCTGGTCTCTTTCTTGTTATTGCTGGCAGGAGAAGAAAGATGGTTGGCTATTGCTTCCTCTTTTCGCCTCGCTTGTCTGCCCGCGTTGTGCGGTCGTTGGGGGAGAGCGGTTGAGCGGAGCGGCCGTTAACTGTAGCCGTTGACAACACTAATGTAGCTCCAGCAACCGACGCTTCACATTATACAGACACCGACGTCGGTAAACACGAGGGGGAAGATTTCGCTCATAAAAGCTCGTCGGTGACCCCACCGGAAGTACTTTGTACAAAAGTAGTTTTTGCACAAACGTGTTTTTTTTTTTTTTTTTTTTTATTAAACCGACTTCACTGTGTTAACTGCTCCGGACACAAGATGGCGCCGTCCTGTCACTTTTATACTCATGGCTTTACAAAAATACCAATTCAATTTAATCTATATTATATAGTTTGTTTTATCATTTCTTATTGTATTCTTTTTTTATTATACTATTTATATTTAAGTTGCACATGTACAGTTTAGTTTTCTTTGTCAAAGCTGCTCAAATATTTGCACACTATTTTTACTTTACGTATTATTGCATATATACTTTTCATTTATATTCTTATATTTTCTGTTATATTTTGTAATATTCTTATTTTGTGATATCTTATTGTACTTCCACTTCTGTTCACTATGCTGCTGTGTCTAATCTGAATGTCTCTTACAGGGGATCAATAAAGGTACATCTTATCTTATCTTTAGTATTAGACCGCTACTGTATATTCACAGACCTGTTTATAGCCTATTTTCCCCCACTAATCTATACTGCTGTACATGTGTTTTTTGTCCTGTGCAATTATTATTATTATTCTTATACCATGCCACAACCTGGTTGTAACCTGTGCAATAGTCCATATCAATCACATCTGTATACAAAGCTGTATATATATATACAACTCTTATTCTCTTATTCTATTTTCAGTATTTATATCTATTATATTCTAGATATTTTTCTATTCTATTTTTATTTAATATGTATTTTATTATCTGTTAATTTCTCCAGTGTGGAATCAATAAAGTCTATCTTATCTTATTTTTTTCTCTTTCAGTTAACATATGCTGCTTAGATTAATTGATAGTTCTGCTTAACAGCCATTGCTGATGCCTGTTTGTTATTTGAAGAAGCTTAATAAAGTTTTTATAATTATTTTAGTATGTGAATGAATGACAGTAGCCCAGTTATTAGATATAAATATTAACTATCTTATACATATTTTCTAGACAACACTGTAAAACTAAAATGTATTAACTGGTTTTATTTATTGAAGATTATTTCTAGCTATTTTCTAAATGTTGTTTTCTCTGTTTTATTATTCTGTATAAATATTTTATTTAATTGTGACATGCACTATGTCTAGAAGGAGATTTCACTGTATTCACTGCACAATGTACTGTAATGTGTATGACTAAGTATGTGACCAATAAAGGTGTGTTGTCTTGAACGTCATTGTGGAACACAATGGCATAAAGCTTTGTGATCCCCTTTGATACAAACATGTAAAGTAAATATCATAAATGATAATATTTGGAATCTATCTTGTGAAAAATGTACTTGAAAGATTTAAAACTGATTACAGCTGTGATTATGGACTGACTGAGGAAACATCTCACATTCATTCTTCCAGTGTACTGATTACTCAACATTATATTTTGGGATCATTTAGAGATCTTTCTTTTAGCACTGGTATAGAAAGGAACTATGTCCATGTCTTGCACAAAATTATAGACAGGCTACCCTTTTTAAAAAAAAATCATATTCCCATACCAAATTCTTATATTATAAAGATTTTTTATAATTAATCAACAGTCAAAAACAACTTTATTTATATCCATCCAGGCATTAATTGCACACATATCTTTGTCTTGTTGTTGTGTTTGATTTATCTAAAACTAATCCGGAAATGAATCAAGAATGGAAGCATGAAAACTGCTTTGTCACTATGGAAACTGGCCTTGACATTATCCAACAGGCGCTACGTGCGACTTTCTGTCCACTTCTGTCATGTTTAAGTGTCTGTGAAAGATAAACACAGCATCGTCCGACGGCACTGTTTGTTCAGCACACGTGTTTCTACTACAGGAGTTACCTAGGCGACAGCAGTGGACGGAAGCTCCTATCAGAATCGAATTCGGCCCGACCTGCCGTTTAACGTAAACAGGTGTCGTAAAATGACGCAACCGTTATACCACTGGCCCTCCACTGGGAAACTGGCGTGGATTTGCGCTAGCATTACTTGATAGATTCATTGTATTTAGTTATTTACTTGTGTCTACCATACCCGATCTGGCGCAGTAGTTTCCGGACAAGCTTTAACAGAACTGAGGAAGGCGGTAACAGCGACCAACGAGGATGTTTAAAAAGTACGTTGCTGATTATTTCCATGTTGTAGCGTTAGCTAACCACAGCTATGTGGCTAACGCTAACTGATTAGCAATCGCGTCTTCGAGTTTGTTGTGTGCTCATGTTCAATTAATGATACAAGCAGACATGGGTTATTGTGAGAGAGCTTCTGTTGTTACATTAGATCAGACCTGTGCCCGAGCAGACAGACATCTGGTTAAATGTGTCAGTGCTGTGAGATCTGAAGAGTATTTATTAACTGTCTGTTATCCAAACATGTGTCATCTTGAGACAGTCGGGAAACATCCGCGCACATCTCACATTAGATAAACATAGTTCAATAATGTGATCATATGTATGTTTATATATAATCAGAAATTTTAATTAATGACTGTATTCAAAGTTACCTTTCTTGTATATAAAGTTCCCAGAACCCCTTTTAAGGGTGTATTGAAATGAAATTGATAACAATATTTACACTGAAATGAATCTGATTATCTGAATGACATAGATGATGCTTGAATTGTGTATTAATTATTTGCAACAATGTGGAATAAGTACTGTATGTGTGTCATTGTGATTTACACCTGGCAAATTTAAAGTAAATGAACAGAATTAAACTTTGTTGCATAAAGATAATTACCATATGATGGACATGACACAAAAGCTTGCTCTGTTTTATAGCTGTGTTTGTAAAACGTGCAAAACCTTTTCCTGTTTCAGATTTGATGAGAAGGAGAATGTGTCCAACTGTATCCAGCTGAAGACTTCAGTGATCAAAGGCATCAAAAATCAGCTGTTGGAACAGTTTCCAGACATTGAGTCATGGCTTAATCACATAATGCCAAAAAAGGACCCTGTCAAAATAGTGAGATGGTATGGCCTATCATTTTTATCATCAAAGGTTCTCACATGCAATGTGGTTTCAGTATAGGGGATTTTCTTCTAGTTAATGTTTCTATTATTCTTCCCACAGCCATGAACACATTGAAATCCTGACAGTGAATGGAGAACTGCTCTTCTTCAGACAGAGAGAAGGACCGTTCTACCCAACCCTCAGACTGTTGCATAAATGTAAGATCAAGTCCACCGTGGGATGTTTGTGTTAGTGTTTTCGCCTACTGCTAAGAAATTACCATTTCTTTGCACAGATCCTTTCATTCTTCCACACCAGCAAGTAGACAAAGGAGCCATTAAATTTGTCTTAAGTGGAGCCAACATCATGTGCCCCGGGCTGACGTCACCAGGCGCTAAACTCTACCCAGCTGGAGCTGACACAGTAGTTGTATCCTTGCATACATGATGCTACACATAGAGACTGTTTGATGTTCACATTGTAAATATATATATATAGAGTTAAATATTTTTTTTCCAACTTCACAAGTTTGTCTTTAACAAGCGGATGCAGGCCATAATGGCAGAGGGAAAACAACATGCACTTTGTGTTGGTGTTATGAAGATGTCTGCAGAAAGCATGTAAGATTGTTTTCTTACGTTTTACAGAAGTAAAAATGGGCGTTCTGTTACTGCTCTTACGACGCCTGATCGTAATTTGTCTTTTGCCAACAGAGAAAAAGTCAACAAGGGAATTGGAATTGAGAACGTTCACTATCTGAATGACGGACTGTGGCACATGAAGACGTATAAATGACGACATCAACACCTGCAACACCCGCCCCCCCTCGCCACGCCACGCCACGCCACGCCACTACCCCCCGGAAAGTGTGGAGCTCTTGACAGCGAGGCATGAGCTGCCAGTCAACTGTTTACACCTACGGACTTAGCTGTGTAACCTGCTGGAGGCTTTGAAACCAATCGCGATTATGCACAAATAAAAGAAAGATCTTGCTTTAAACCTTAATGTCAGTTGGTATTTTGCATTTGATCCAATTAAAGATGGACACATTATTGTGTTTAATGAAATCAAAACAGCAGACATGATAAAAAATTTTTTTTAGTATTAACTATGTCAGCCTAACCTTGATTACCTGGTTTTTATATTGCGTGTATAGTTGTAGCCTGTCTGTCTGGACATGTGCCAGTTTAGTCACCTAATTGTTTCTTGGGTATTTATATCAATACAGGACGTGAGCGTAAACAATGACCGAAGGAGGGGCAGAGTTAGACCTGTTCTTCTGCTGTCTTCAGTCAGCAAATCTTGACACTGCTTGCTGTCAGGTAAAATTAGGTGAAATATATTTACTATTTTTTTTAATAGTTTGTGGTGCTGTTGAACTGTTTTAATACCTAAACTAGGTGTTTCTATTATTGTGTACACCTCATTTATATCAGTTGATGCAATTGTTCCCTCATGCTCAGTATTGTTGATCGCCTTTGTTATAAGCTGACTACATATTTCAACAGTACCAGGGTGTCAATTAGAACCACAATATTTTATTTTCTTACCCAACAGCAACAAAACATTAATGTACATTGTGTGTTCAGATGCAACAAGATGGTGGTCACCAGTGTCCTTTATAATCAAAGCAGAATATAAAACAGTGGCCACATTTTATCTGCAGAAGAATACATTTACAGTTCTATATATATATATATAAAAAAAAAAAGTTGAGCCTAAAGTACTCCTTTAACTGTACAAATATATCCCAAAATTATTCACAGTATGCTTGACAAGATATACACCTGGAAAGCTACCAGCTCTCTTCTGTATGATTTTCACGTAGACACACTTTCATCCTCATTCCCACTTTTTAACCGTCCATGTTGGATCATTCAACACCACAAAACCAATAAGTTTAATCAGAAATTCATTTTTATTATCCAAAAGTCTTTTTTTTGTCTTTTTTTAATCAAGTCACCACTGAGGTATATTATTTTTCATTTCGCTGTGAAGGCCAATTCCACATGTAGAGATAACCAAGCATAATCGGACAAGGAATGCTGCGATATGTTTGACTCAATATTGATTATTGGTGCGTCCATACAATCTTTAAATCAGTTGGGTGAAGTATTCTCAGACATAAAAAAGAAGTTCTTTATAATGTTAATAATTAAATAATTTCAGAAACATTTTCAAAAAACAGTATCACCTAATAACTTGAATGCAGCTTTAAGACCACAAAAAGACAAACATTTAAGATACATAACAATATTACAGTAAACAATCCTTCCATATAATCTTGTCTCATGTCACTCGTTTGATTTCCCAGCTCCATCTTCATTCAAGAGAAAGGCACACCCATCGACTCTGTTAACCTACACAAAGGAACGGGGTGCTGATTGTGCCAAGTGCAAAATGTACAAATTATATAAAAGTGTTATTCCCACCCAGGATCCAGTTTTACAAACAGCATAAGAAAACCATCTCCCCGAAGTTAGGTTTGCCATCATAGAAGCAAAAATTTTAAAATGCCACACTCAGCTTGAAGGAATGAGTCTAATCATTATCTGAACCTTCAGGAGGGTGAAACATTAACGAGTCGTGAAAGTCGTGGCCGTAAGGACGAAGTCTGTAAACTCCGTACATCATAACCTGCATTTGATTCGGTGACATCCCGTTGAACGTGACAGCCATGTTGGAGCAGCAGCCCTCCACTACATTGGTGGGATTGTCCCTCATGCTGTCCGTTATCAGGCTGTCCACGCTCTTGCTGTTGAACAGGCCCTTTCCGTGTGCGTCTTCTCCGTTCTCTGCGTAGACACCCGTATATTTGAGGCACACGGCCAGCTGCTTGTCCTCGCTCAGCTTCCACAGGGCACGTCCTCTTTCTGGACACTTGTCTTCATCCTGGAACACATGCACTAGCCTTTTCAGCGCCTCATAGCTTAGGACAATGCCGCTATCGTACAACACATACTCAAGCTCCCCTGACTTCATAGCGTTGCCCAGGTAGAAGGGCTCGCTGGGATCCTTTGTGAGCACCAGGTATTTGAGGTTCTCTATGATGGCAAACGTGGTGGGTTGTGCGACAAAGAACCAGCGCAGGTCTCCGGCGTTCTCATAAGCATGTTTCAGAGCTTTACGTAACCTCGCCCAGTCATCTTTTTCATTCAGGTCTACTGCATCGAGCGCCTTAGATGACTCGGAGGTGTAAAACACAGCCTTATCACAGTGTTTGCTCCAGGTGTCGACAGCTGTAGCCCAATAAACAAGGATCTTGGGCTGGACCATGATGATGCAAGAAACCCGGACTTGATTGCTCAACTCTTGCACCCGGGTGTCGGAGAGGCGTTGTAGCTCATCATCACTCGGGGCCTTGACGTGATGATGATGATGATCCTCTGTCCTAGACTCCGTGCCGGGGCTGAAACTACCCAGGAGAGACAGCACCAAGCAGAAAAGGCCTCCCAGGACCACCCCCTTCATGAAAGAGCCTCCTTCGGATAACATTTTGGCAGCAGACTGTACGAGAGAGAAAATGCAATAATGTAGCAAACCATATCCATTTCCAGCTTATTAACTGTGACGATTTGCCGCTTCACATATGTGACTTGTACTGAAGAGAAACTGTATGTTACAAGGCACAAAATGTGAAAAATAAAGCAGCTGATAAAGTCTTGCTAAGTTTTGAAATAGAAATAATTTTACAGAGACTGTTCATGCTTTCCCTTCCTCATGTTTAAATTACTGTAATGATCTCCTAACAGGCATAATTCAGAAAAGACTACTAACAAAAAGTGAGAACAGAGATCACATAACCCTCATTTTACTATTTTTACACTGGCTACCACTATGTTACAGAATAGATTTTAAGAATGTAATGATGTCCATTAAAGCACTTCATGTCTGCCTGTATCTCTGACTACTCTCCAATTAACATGAACAGTCGGAGAAACCAACAAGAACCTGCTGTGGAATAACCTGCCCGACAACGTAAACCTATTTTTATCCAACGTGTTTTGTACCTGTATTTCAGCTGGATGACATTAATTAACAACTATGAATAACTTGAATAATATGAATGTGTTTTGTAATGATATGTTGGTTGTTATGTGTAGTGTGTGTTGTGTTTTTAACTTCCATGTGTAAAGAAGGTCATTCGCAGTGATATGACTGTTTTAGCTGTATGTTTACCTCCAACTTGCTGTTAGTAACTCAGTGTATGTGCTCTTTACTGGCTGACTTTGTTTTATTAGGATGAAAGCAACTTTCTATTCCATTAGTATCCAATCAACATTACAAAAACCAACGATGTAAACTTTACTATCAGAGGACTAGAAACCCCCTTAAATATACTTAAAAACTGACTTAAACAGTGAATTCAAACAGTTGCCTATTCATTTTCTGTAGATTCATTTCTTCAGCTCTTCCAGCTGTAAGTTAATACAGCTTTTCCTTTTCTGCCAGATGTAACGTTACTTAACCAGAAGATTAGTCGATAATGAAAATAAGGATTTAACTAGCTGCAGCTCTAATATAACAACACGACCTGTTCATCTTCCATGTGTCTTAACAAACAAATATTGTCGCCCTTACTACAGTGTGTTGAGCACTCAAGTCTCCGTTGTTAACTTTGGTTGTGTGTGAATCTCTCATTATCTTCCCTGAGCCTCAGCGGCGGTTGACAGTTCAATCCGCCAGTTTGAACCGTTATTTTAACGTCTATAAACGAGGATTAACGAGCAGTTAACTGTTAGCATTAACGTTAGCAACCGCGGTCGCAGAGAGTTCAGGCGAAGTCACTCCTTGACTACCAACCGTCAGCTAGCTAACCGTTAGCCTCCAACCGTCGTAACGTCCCACTCGCGGCTGACTCGTCTTGTTCGCAACTTAAATATAACTAAGTTAATAAAGAGCGTTGTGCTGTACCTAGCCGGGTTACCGCTGCCGGGTCCGATGAGAAGTGGTGCTCCTGCTGCTCCTCTCGTCTTCCAGCTCCCACCTTACCTGCTTGGTGAGATTCCGACGTCAGCCAGGATAATACGTGCGTGGGTCATGTTGAACACCGACTTCCGCTTTCAGAGATCATGTGACCCAGCTGGGGACTCGTCGTAACAGCTGGTTTTTATAAATGTTGTTATCAGAATCAGAAATACTTTATTGATCCCAAAGGGGGAAGTTTGTTTGTTTGTTTGTTTGTTTGTTACAGTTGTTCTACTCACACATGTTAAAGAATGGAAATTATTCTTGTATTACAATATCTGACGCAGTATATATAGAATAGAAATGTGTGTGTAGGTATATAACATATAAGTAGAAAGTAACAATACAAATGGAAATAGAAATATATTAAGAGCCTAAGAGATATATTATAGTCATATGAATCAATTTAATTACACAAATTAACCCGGTAAATACTATAAATACTATAAAGCGTTATTATTATGTAATGCTAATTTATTTTTGGTTTTATAGGCTAAATGTTTTTATTTTACTTTACAATGGCATTTTTCCCTGTGGTCCTTTTTTTTAATGTCACATTTGATTTATTATATATATATATATATATCTTTATCCCTTCAAATGATTACTTCATTATGTCTTTATTTCTTAATTGAATTGAATATTGAACATTTTGGGGTTGTGCGATGTTAGCCATCAGTTTAGATTGTATGTTTTGATGATTTTGAGATAAACATGCAGAAGTAAGAACCGTTGTTCTTAAAATAGGGGAACTGTTGGGAAATGTCCCATATCCGTCAAACAGGATTTGAATAATTCACTTCAGAATCAGATAAAACATACCTGATACTGAGCTTTCCTTTCAGCACTGCATTTGCATTAACCTAACGACACAAGGTAGTCTTCTTATCTTCAGGCCTATCAGACACAAACAGCCATGCAACTACTGTTGGTTGGGACCTACCTTTCAGGTTACTGTGGTCTCTTCTTGAGTTTGTACTTTATTAGTTGACATGTCAGGAGACAACTGGTCGATTTTGGTCTGTAGCTAAATTTCTGCTGCTATAAAGATGTTCTGCATTTGAAACAACTCAAAATATATGTTGGTTTGTGTCTAGTAATGCAAAGTAACTGAGTACATTTACTCAAGTACTGTACGTAAGTATTTTTGAGGTACTATTTGATCCTACTTTTCCACTACTAATTTCTTTTTTTATATTTTCAGGCATTTTTGCCTTTATTTGGACAGTGACAGTCAAAGATAGACAGGAAGGAGGGGAGAGAGAGAGGTGGACGACACACAGCAAAGGGCCACAGGTTGGAATCAAACCCGGACTCACCCTTAGTACATAGGGTGCATGCTCTATAGGGGGGCTACCAGGATGCCGCCTCCATATCACTGTAACCATCAGGCTACTGGGGCACCCCAGAAAAATTGTACTTATTACTACACTGCATTTTTCTGACAGCTATAACTATAGCTATGTCGTCCCCTCTCTCTCCCCCTTTCCTGTCACTCTACAGCTGCAGATGTTGGCAGTTCAATTGGACTCTAAGTGACTCTAAGAGAGAGAGAGAAACAATTCTACAATATTTTACAAAATACAAAGATTTGGAAAACTAGATACAAATTTGTGTTGCAGAACTTCTTTCCAGCACCATTAATGATCTAACGACCCCTCAGATTTTATCTTGGGACCCTTTGGAGGGGGTTGACCTCTTGGTTGGAGAACACTTAACTATATAAAGTAGCTCCACCTCAACCAGAGCACAACAGTAAAATGTTACTTATTGTACACATTGTTGCATCATTATTAACAATTTAATAGTGTAATAGTATGTTAGTACTTTGACATACTACAATTACTTGAATGCAGGACTAATAACTAATTAAATTCCCATGACCACAATTAACACAGCAACATAAATCCTATCTGGAATTTTGATAGTGATATTTATTGATAATTATTTGATAGTTATTGTTTCTTTCCTTTTTCAAATGAGTAATGTGTCTGTGTGTCTGAAGTCACTGTTTGACTTTAAAGCGAAGCTCTGCGGCGCGTTCACGTCTTCTCATTGACTGCTCAGCAGCCAAATGTATCAAATGTTGTTGTTTTCAGCAGCAATTTCACAGACGTGGAGACAAGCTTATAAATCACCTGATACCACGGACACTCATCTTTAGGACATTAGGGACCTTTCAGTTTGACAAAAAGCCCTGCGGCCCGAAGCCTCCTGGAGCAGCCGAAAACTCTTGTTTTGATCTTTTATATCTTTGGAAACAATAACTTCCTTTTACATTTTACGCCTTTATGAAATAAGTAATAACTTAATTGTTAAAGCACAACCTGTAATTTTCTCTGAAAGGACTCACAGTTAGACAGTACTCAAAATGTCTTTGTAATTACATTATTAAAGTGAAATGTTTCCATTGGCTCTTCAACAGGTACAGAGGAAGTGACCTCTGTATATCCTTTGCCTTGTCTAACACTTCACTGTACTCTTTGCACGGCCCTGAACATAGCATATTTGTATTTGTGACATTTGCACATTTATCTTTTTTGCATATATTAGTATGATGGCTCTAGGGATGTCAGTCTGTCTGTCAGTCGGTTGGTTCAACAATTTTATTTTAGCTACATTTCTGTGTTTTAGCAAAATGTTTCAACAACTGTCTGATAGTCAGTCACAAACAGTCTGCGTTGAGCGCTGCTTTGGAGTGAAAAATAACGTGAACAATAGAAATGAACCTGAATCCATATTGATCATGTGACTACTTGCCAGATAAATTTGAACCTGATGAAACTGGCTGAAATGCAAAGACATATTTTTAACTGTTACTATGACTAAATAGTCATGAGGCATTAAAGGCTTTTTAAATCACTACCGTCCTGCGAGAGATCAGATTTCTTCAACAGTTTTAAACTATTGGATAACATTTGGCTCTAATATTCATTTCATCATGCAGGTAAATTGCAATAATCACTAAATCTTTCACTTTTCATCTAGTTTAACAGGTCAAAATTTTTATTTAGCAAAACTATCTTAAAAAAGACATTCCCATGAACCTCAGCTGCAGTTTGCTTTTGACAAATCAAGCAAAATAAAAAGAAGAAAGAAACCTCTTAATCCTTCTTTTTCACTTTAATTATTTAAATTTTATACTTAGTTGGACATATGTACCCAGTGCAACTTACATATTGAAAGGTTAGCAGTGTACAGTGAAGCTTACAGAAAATACAAGTAGGAATTTATGCTTTAACCAAAATGTAGAATTGAAAACTGCAGAAATAAAATATTAAAGAAATATTAAAATATCGTTATGCTCCACAAACAACAAGAAGCATGGCACAAGAACAAAGCATATAACTGTTTGTACCGTGATTACCTTACAATTTAACTAAATTTGCAACATCTTTTCCACAAAGTGACCCATTCACCCCGTCAGACAGTCATAATTAATTGTTTCAGAAACGTTGATCATTCAACCCAAAGTGACGTAGAAATCCAGTGACACAGTTCCACCTGCTGTGTACTTGTGATCTCAGACATGAGCAATGATACGTTTGAACAGCCCATCACATAGAAATGGTGTCAGACATAAACCATCAGAGCTCTGCTGGACAGCCACTGATTACTGCTGCAGAGTAAACATTTGTTAGGCCTCTCTGTACAAGCACAGATAGGCTCCGGATGAATCGACAGGGTCCCCTAAATTGTGTCTATGACGCCTGATCCATCGCGTCAAAACCATTAAGAAAGAGACTGGTTGTGATGATAATGTATTGATCTGATTGTGATGGATGACCACTGAGGATATATAAGTGAAGTTCTCTGCCGGGCAGAGGTATAGTCCGATCCGGCCATCTAAAGACAAAGGCACCATGCTTTCTGTAGCTCTGTTTTACCTCTTAGCCGTGGTTTGTTCTGCAAGACGGACACATGCTCTACCGCTGTACCCTGATACCAACCTGGAGCCACAGGCAGGTAAGACTCTTTTAAAATGGTCTTCTTCACCATTTTACCATTTCAATCTTACCTTTTGTCATGAGCAACACTGAGATATTTACTCTATGCCAGATAACAAACAGAAGCTGAACCAAACTTACATTAATATTTCTTTTGAGATAAATTGAGTTTTAACTTATCTTCACTGAAATAATCTACCCTTTCTTGATAACTCCTTCTTGTCCTTCAAGATATGGGTTTAAACTACATCAATACATTTTTATAAAGTATTCCACTGAACTCTTTCAGGGTATTAATGTCATAATGACAGGATGACAGGAAGAAGTTGTTTTCATCTCAACAGATTTCATTCAGAAATTAGTGTCAGAGGTTGAGGATGGACCCAACACCGCCGAGGGGGAGCAGAGAGAGGTTAATAACCTGTATCCTCTACTGATGCAGCACAATGGAGCAAGAGACTCCTGGAATAAAGGTAAACGATTCAAACATCATGCAGACATTTGCAGTCAGTCGCATATGGTCAACATGATGAGTTTTTTTACTCTCTTTATGTTTTTAAGGGGCTAAAGATTCAGCACAACAAGACAAGTTTGCGAACATGGTAAGGCTGACACTCTACGTCTCTATACACTGAGAAAGTTTAACATAGCATTATGTATTGTATAATTGTATAGCAGGTCTCAGAACAAAGTCGCAAAGCAAGAAACCCATTAAAATAGCAGAAATGATGGGCAATTCAAAGAACAAGTTGAAGGTGAAATATCACAGAAAGATCAATTACTGCAGAAATTTGTTTTTAGTAGAGATTTACAGGAAGTGACTGCAAGATAACTTCAAACAGGAAGGCTGTTCCAGAGTTTGGAGATTCTTACAACAAATGCATCTCCTTCAGTTTTAGGTCTAGATTAGGGGGGTGTAGCCGTGATCTGAGAATGCAGAAGCTCACAAATGTATGTTGGACCACAGAGTGCTTTAAAAGTAATACCTTAAAATCAATTGGAAACCAATGCAAACAGGCTAAAATGAGGGTTACGTGATCTCTCCAGTTTGTTCCAGTTAAAACTCTAGCTGAGGCATCCTGTAGCGTTCACATCATCTTCTGCTTTCGTCATGTTTTTTTTCTTGTTTTTAGGTTGAGGACCTCGGAGAAGCTGTTCTGAAGCTGGCAGCGGCTGACAAGCTGCGCTCTCAGGGTTTTCTCAGATCAGAGCAGAACTTGCCAAAAACAAACAAAAGAGGTAAGTGACTTTATTACGCACCATCATGCCACACCTGCTCTTCATACACAGTCTCGGATCACGTATAACAATGTCTGGCTGCTGTTCAATGATCTAATCAGAAGGATGTTTAACTAAGGCTTGTGCCATTTAAAGAAGAACACAAAACACAGATGGAACGAACAAGTAGAAGTAAAATGAAACAGATAACAACAGTAAATATACAAATGCATGGTACATAACTACAGAGTTACTTTTATTCAAAACAAAATAGTTTAATGTTTTCTAAAGAGTAAAATATTATATCTATCTAATTGGGGTACTTAAAATAAAGTACAGTCGGGTAAAGTAGAAGCACACTAAAAAGCAACTTATGATATCTTACAGGAGTAGATTATAAATAATGTAATTATTGTAAAACACTTTAAACACTAAACAAAAGAGGACAGAAACATATACAGCATATGCAAGTACCAGTAGTATTAGTACAATATGAGGTAAATATTAAAATGAAGAATGTGGATTTGTTGCTAATTTTTCTCTCTGATGTCTTGACAGCATGTTTCTGGAAATACTGTGTCACCAACTAGAGCCGAGCAGCAGCAGGACGTTTGGCCCTGGTTGGAAACGCCTTCACTCTCCATCCACATTTTTGTTTCCTACCAAACAGTATATTCGTCGTCTAAACTGGATCAACAGAAAATATATTTTTGAATCTGTAAAATGGTCTTTTTTGTGGCTGGAAATAAACTTAAATATCAGAAATGTAAATTATGTCATCTGCTTTGTGATAGTTCAAGTTTTCAAAATGTTTATAATCATTACTGCATGAGGCCTAAAGAAGGAAGATGAAATTCAGGATTGTTTCTTCACTTTCTCCCCAGGAGGGGGCATTATAGCACTAGTCAGCCACACACACACACACACACACACACACACACACACACACACACACTCCACTCAAAAATCAAGGTTGAGACCAATAAATTTGATATTTTTTATTAATTGACAGTGAGGCAATTCAATCACATTAAACTGTATTTGTACAGGGTTAGAATAAGATTTTACGTTTTGCATAAAAACGAACTGTTTGTTAAGGTTTTTGCAGCTAATACTCGCACTAGCACAATCATATTTTAATAAGGGTGCTTTGATCATAAAAAGCATGGAAAATTATCAATATTTACACTATAAACAAAAACATAACAGTCAATTGCACATTTGGCCTTTTCACTGTGGAATAAACACACCATTTGTCTGCGAGTGACTATGGATACATAGTCAGTACATACAACCAATAAAACTATTTGCTTTTTCAATGTCCCAAAATCTTACTGCGACATCAGGTTTTTAAGGTGGAACAGTGTCTGATTCATTGCCACAGTTTATTCATGCGGGTTGTAGCGCCCTCTACAGATCACCATCTTTACATGAATGGATACGGTGGGTGAAAACAGGATTTTAATTACAGAGAATCACAGGTTTACTTCCTCTTGTTGGCCACGCTGAAGTAAGCCTTTTCAATTTCAATGTCGGCTGGACACGTCTGTTTGAACTCCTCCCTCTCATAGGCGTTCTGAAGGTATCGCCACACGCCTGTGAACTGGGCAGGGATGTCAAAGTCGCAGTACTTCTTGGCAGCAATCTGAAATAAATGGAAAGATCAGAATTAAGCATTTAGAGAAACATAGAGTGCACCAGGTACATAAAGATCAGAGCTGAAAGAAGTACTCAAATCATTTAACATAGGGAAATGTACAAATACTATAATGTAAAAAACTCATTACAAGTTAAAGTAAAATGTTTATGCACTACGTTGTGTTGTTTAATGTACTTTACATCAGTGCATCATAATTTATGCTCATTATAGGTTTCTCAAATCCTCATATAATCCTCATAACCATATAAAAAATTGTATTCTTTGACACAATGGCATGAAAGTAAGTGACCCTGAAATTCACGAGTAAACAGTGAAAATACTGCGAGTAGCGCTGCAATGATTTCTCAATGAATCGATTAGTCGTCAACGATAAAATCCATAGACAACTATTTTGATAATTGATGAATTGTTTGGAATCATTTTTTAAGATTTTTTTTCATGTTTTTGTTTCAAATTCTCTGACTTCAGTTTCACAAATGTGAATATTTTCTGGTTTCTTTAGTCCTTCATGACAGTAAAGTAAATATCATTGGGTTGTGGACAAAACAAGATATTTGAGGAGGTCACCTTAATTATTACATTTTAATTGAAAAACGATTGACAGATTAATTGATAATGCAAATAATAATGTTATTTGCAGTCCATACCTGCAAGTAAACGTCCTGCATTGAAAAGCATACATAAGTAAGTATTATCAGCTAAATGTACATAAAATATCAAAAGTTCTCATTATGCAGAAAACTGGCCCTGTGACTGATACATTATTATATGACATTATTTGATTGTTAATCCTGATGCATCAAAGCGAGTTTGGTAGTTTAGTCCAGTGGAGTTGGGCCCTCAAAAAGGGTCACAAGATCAATCTGATGGGACGTGAAATGATTAATGATGTATAATACTACATCTGTGGGGCCTGAACAATTGTTTTAAATTACATTTAGAGGGGAATTTTTCTCTCTGGTGGAACTACTAACAACTCATAGACACCTGAAATGTGACAAGGGGCCCCAACCAGACATCAGAAAGGTTGAAAACCAGTGATTTAATCTTGTAATGTACTGTAATGTATTGTATTTTACAAGGTCATCATATTCTTTTATGTAAAATATTAATATGAGAAGCCACAAGTAACTATAGCTGTCACATAAATGTAACAAATATGGTGGAGTAAAAAGTACAACATTTCCCTCTGAAATGTAGTTAAGTAGAAGTTTAAAGTGGCATAAAATGTATATACTTAAGTACTTGAGTACATACTTAATTACTTTCCACCACCAGTCCAGACACCAGAGTGGAGATATTTTAAGATTTACTGAGATTTACTCCAAAATGATCACACACTGTCTCACCCTGATAACGTGCAGTTTGGGGAGCAGGTTGCAGTCAGCTAAGGTGAGGCGGTCGCCGTCCAGGAACTTCCTCTTGGAGATGGTGATGGTTTCTCTGGAGTTATGGTCGATCTCCTCGGGGAGGGGGGAATTCAGGTAGTCATCCAGGCGCTTGAACTCCCGCAGCAGGTTTTTCTCATGGACTGGAGAGTCAGAAACACAGAGATATGTTATGTAATGTTACTACAGGTAAAGTGTAAGTACTGTACATTTACTTTAAATAGAATATTTAAATACTGATGTGAGAAGATTCAAGATTTTAATATAGGTATTCTGAATGCCTATTCTATTATAATATTACATCATTGAATTTGTCACTGATGAATTAGCATGTAAGCATTTCAATATTGTAGTTTGTCAAGGTTGAGATACTTTATATGCTGTTAAAGTGATTCCACCGCTGACTTTGAGGGGAAACCAACTGAATCCGACTCGGTGGCAGGCATTAAAAATAACTATATAGAAATAATATAATCTTCTCACTGATGGTATGGTTTGTTTTTTAATGTCATATAGAGGCATCAGTATTAAACTGAGACTGATTCATAACCAGTTAAAAACTCCTTGTAGTACATTTAAGTACAGTTACTGTGCTGGAGTAAATGTACTTAGTTATGTTCCACTACTGATCAGTCCTGTGATAATAATAATAATATAACTATTATATTATATTACAATATATTTTTACTGAAGGTATGTCTGTCTATTTCTTTATTACAAGAGCTCCAGCTTACAGGCGTTATTCGGACTGTTCTTGATGAAAGCAGAGAACTTTGCAAAAATGTCAGCGCCGACGTCAAAGGACTCTTTGTTTAGTGGGCTGAGATGAGGATACCTGCAGGAAGAGAAGAAAAGAGAAGCCTGGGAGTAAACTTTCTTAATGAGAAAATAACCCATCATCAAAATCTCACTTGATACATATTTGTTTAGCGATCAAGAGCAACAATACCTGGGAGGGGCCACTGTTTGTTCGAGAAACTCCTCGATTTTGATGAAGTCTGTTTTGAGGGTGCCGTTGTAGAGGAGGAAAGGAGGGTTCGTTCCTGGGGCCAGGTCTTTGAGCTCAGCTGGCTTCCTGGAGAGGACGTAGAAAGATGGAGAGGAATAAGGACAGAGAGTTGGGGGGGTGACATCCCACTTGGGTTTTTTATTCAGATCATTCAATCCGACTATATCAAGAATTTAAAAACTGAGAGTGTGTCGCGTTATCGAGGCTTGTCAGGATCAAATGTGGCACAGTGGATTAATGATTTCAGCATTGGCTATTGGTTTAGTTATAAAAACACAGAGTGCTGGGAGTGGTCGCCTTTTCAGAGGCCTGTTCTGTGTGTGTTCTGAATCATTCAATTATCTGCATCCTTTCAGAGTTTCCTGATCTTATTTGCTCTGTGGCAATGGCCCTGAGAAATTCACACAATAAAGCCTCAATTAAAGAAGGTGTTTGTTTGAAAGCGACATAGAGCTCTTTGTACACTTTGGCTTTACGGGCTCCTCCCTCTAACCTGTGTTAGACAGTGAGAAACACACCTTGCACCATTGATAAGTGAGAAACGGTTTGGATTAGTGAAAAAAAAAACCTTCTCATTTTCACTCTAATTTTGCTTGTTAATAGACTTCTGTGTGAAAGTCCCTATGACCAGATGCTCAGGAAATGCTTCTGGCAGAGGAGGGGTGCTTACTTCCTCATGTCAACAGTGGTCACTGTAAACTTGACTCCTTTCAGCCACAACACCATGAAGAGCCTTTGACAGAAAGGACAGTTCCCCACATTTTCACCATCATGTCCAGCCTGAAAAACACAGAAAGTATTTTATTTTTATGATCACAGGAGCCACAAATGTCAAATGTCACAATATCTCTTCTCTTCCCTTCTGCGGACAAACAAGTGAGTTTGGAAGCAAAGGCGTGTCTGGGTTATTTAAAGGCAATTTCCTCCATGTAAGGGAAAAACCAGGCATTGTGTTGTAACGGAAAACAGACACTAACATTTGCTAACATCTCCTCCTTCTGCTAGCTCACAACATGACAACATGGTCTGTTTAAAGCCCAATCTGTGTTTTTCTTAGCTCCAGCTTTTAGCTAATACGTTGATGTTAAAGGAATAGTTTCACACTTTGAGAAATATGCTCATTTGCTTTCTTGCTGGAGTAAGGTAAGAGGATCACTCTCAGGTGTATAATGTGGGCTAAATATGGAGCACCCATCAAGACTGGAAACACCTAGCCTGGCTCCGCCCGAAGTTAACATAATCTGCCTACCAGCACCTCTAAAACTCAGTAAAAAGACATTAGATCTTGTTTGTTTCTGTACAAAAACTGAAGCATAAAACAACAGTTAGCTGTTTTATGGGGGTTAATGTGCTGGACTGTGTCTTGGATGGGAGCAGTGATTTGGATTCTTGTCCATGCATTATCAGGAAATAGTCCCGCACATAACAACCCATCTTGTTGTTTTTACACTTTTGTACAGATAAAAAAAACAAGATATTATATGATAATTTGTGAGATTTTGTAACCTCTGGTCAAAGCCAGGCTGTTTCCCTTTGTTTCCAGTCTTTGTGCTAAGCTAACTATACCATTATTACCATACAGAAATGAGAGTGGTATTAA